AATCAAGTGAACCGACTCACTGCCGTTACTCGTTCGACCGGTCTAATACAGCAGGGGACGGTAACTACCGTCTGTCTACCCCCTCCGAATAGAACGCGAAGTCATTACAAATGTATTTGGCACGACTTCAAGTCGAGATACAGCGACAAGGACCTGCGTTCTGTTCGGGAAGAAGACGGTTAACGAAGTAAACCGGCCGACGGCACTTGCCCTTCACCAGTTTACACTCACTCCCGCTTCTTTCAAATAACAATTACGACCCGAGAAAAGTGGGGACCACATAGGCTCGGGCTTCCCCATTCTGGATTGGGAAAACTGATATGGTATCGGGACTCGCTAGCTCCACAGGTCGCGACCCCGACAGCAGACGCCATAGGTTCGGCCGTAGAAATGGTGGTTTGAAAGTCAAAACTGGTCAACTGATCACAGGTCCCGACCCCGACAGCAGACACCATAGATTCGGTTCGGAGGTAGCAGAGAGGGATTGAAAGTGACGACTGGTTGATTGATAACAACCACGGCAGCCGATCGCGATCCCGACAGCAGAAAGGCGGTTATCTTAACACGAGATATCACTGAATGTCATCTGAACATCCCTCTTACAGAAAATCAATTCAGAGACTGCAACAGAGAGAAGAATATTCGACGTTGAGGATGTGTCGAGTGTAGAGGTATTCTTTGAGCTGCGTTAAAAGGATATTTACAATATTCGAGAGAGCGATATTGAGTGTTACCGCGGAAATGAACCCACTCGTCGTCAAAAGCAAAGAATGAATGCATCTGACCACCTTTCATGTGACGATGCACTCCGCGCCCACTTCACAGAGGATGGTATCCCGAGGTAGTCGTAAAGCTAGTAAACCACTGTATTGCACCTACCATCCTCTCCATAGCACAACAAACCGCTCTCATGCCTAAGTGTGTATGCAGACCATCTTTCCAGCCCGATACAGTCATGAACAGGGTGCGTTAGGTCCGGGTTGAAGGTTCGTGGCAAACAGGTTTAATGATTACTTCCCCATGTCACACAATAATTACTTCCCCATGTCACAGAATAATTACTTCCACATGTCACACGCTACTACCTTTATAAGAATAAATATACGTAAGTGAGAAAATGAATGATGTCTTATTACTTGCGTTGTTAGTAATTACACCTAATTCACTTCACCTCAAAAAGCATTGGGGGGGGGGGGGGGGGGAAAAAAGCATTGAGAGGACACCAATCGCCGTACCTGCTGGTCGGGACAGAAGAGAGACGGAAGAGGCTTAGCGGCTTTCTCATTGACTACCGTCTTCACCCGAATAGAACGTAGGGTCATTATGGCTGTATCTACACTAACAGTCGCGCCAAGAATACAGCTATCATGACCACTCGTTCGATCCGCCAGAGGAGGGGGGGAGGCGGGGGGGCGAGGCGGAAGACGGTAGTTGCTTTGCCCTCAATTTGCGCGGTTGAAAAAGTATGGGCAGTAAGTCGGTTTCACATCGGCATTCACTCACTTGCCACCCATTCGCCACGCCATCTTGCCACGCGCCGCTCACGTGCGCCACTCAAACGTCATGTCGCCCACTCGCGCAACCCAGTCGCGACTCATGTAAGCCACACTCACTCCCGCCACTCGCCACCAGCGATTCGCGCCACTCACTCTCTGCGCTCCATCGCGCCCACTCATTCGCGCCGCTCGTGCGCGCCGCCTACCCGCACCACCCACTCGTGTTACCTACTCGCGACTTGCTCGCGACACTCACTCTCGCCACTCACTACGCATGCACCACCCACTCGTGCCGCCCACTCGACGGACTCGTTCGCGTCCCTCGCTCTCGCCCCTCGCTCTCGCCCCGCGCTCTCGCCCCGCGCGCGAAAGCCGCGCGAACCGCCCAACCGACCCACCCACTCGCTACTCGCTCGCGCCAGGCACTCTTGCCACTCGCCACTCACTCCCTGCTCTCTCGACGTGCTCACCTGCGAAGCCCGGAGGCGCAGGACTCAAAAATTGACGTAGGGTGAAGTCGGCACGCCAATCAAGAAAACATCTACGAAGCGGGAAACAATGACGCTACCAGTATCGAAAAAACACAAATTCACGGAAGCAGCGGATTAAGAAACGGTCACACGAGACACGGGGAACGAGAAATTGGCGCGCAAAAAAGGGTTGGAAAAGCAATAATATATAGAAACCCAAACGATCTGAACACAACGCACCCTCATCATGAATGTTTATACCGCTACCTTTTCACCCCGATACAGTCGTTTAAGGGTACGTGCTTTGGGGGAAAAGGACGGCAGTTGATTTTTGTTGACGAATAGCACATGGCCTTCAGATACCCCAACGCAATGACCGGTCACAAAATTTTCCACGAATATATACCCCAACGCAAGGACCGATCACAGAACTTTTCACTTTCCTGAGAAGCAAGAACGAGAAAAAATGCAAAAAAAAAAAGTGGAAAACAAAAGAAGAACGAGAGAAAATGTAGTAAAAAACATGAGACGCAGCGGAGTTCACAAAAACCTCAAAAACCGAAACGAAACCTCCAAAACAGAAAACACTCTCCTAAGACGAAAACTGCAAAGCTGCGATTCTTACGCATACTACCACACAATTTTTTTTAACAGATTACTTCATTTTTTATTTTTATTTTTTAAGCTATGTTCTTCTCTCAATTCACCTCACACTACCTACCTAGCACTTTTTGACCAAAAGCAGCTTTCAGCATTATGTGTAAGAAGACTCCCGTGTGCACCCCGAATAGAACGCACGGGTCACGATCGATACACCTAAGCTAAAAGTTGTGCCCCATATATATACACAAAGCTACGCTATATAGCGACCATGTGCTGTATTCGGGTCACAAGACGGTATTAGCAAATCTCAACCTCTTACGAAGAGTTACTTTCAGCACCAAGCGTTGAAGAAACCGAAACCGGAAATCTGACACAGGAATCAATTCCCTGCTTTCGTTGCCATTATAGCTGGCTGCGTATTTGCGGCAACTTTTAGTCTAGATACAGTTTGAAAATGAAACGACGCCCGGTCACTATAACAGTATTTGGGGCAACTTTCAGTCTAGATACGTCCGATAATGACCCGGCGTTCTATTCGTGTCAACACGGTAGTTCATAATCCGGATTCCACAATCTTCGACCACGTACTAATTATCTCATTGCCCTCCAGAAATTTGGCACAACTAGCGCCATACACAACGACTTAGCGCCAACAATGAATCAGACCGCGACCTGCGACCACATTCCGCGCCAAATGTTTTGAGAAAAAGACTAACGCGGTCAAAGTCAGAAGACGAAGGTCAACCCTCCACACCCCCACCAACTCCCCCTTGAAAAAAAAAAAAAAAAAAAAAATCGGTACAGCAACAAACGACTACGAAATACATTATACTGCCAACCCAAATTTGCCACTACATGAAGCGCCCCCCAGTACCAGCATTATAATCCAAAAGGCACACAAAACCCATTACCAACCAGCATCATTATCACCCACGGGTACAAACCAGCATCAACTAACACCTTTTTCTTGTTTCCCCCCCTCTCTTTCTCTCCCCCCGCACCCCACACCTCTTCTCGGTCTCTCTCTTTCCCTCACACTCTCCTCTTGTCCGGCCGTCTTCTCCAGGATAAAACAGTACGGTGCCTATCACTGTACGTAGACAAAACTTCCCCAAACATAGGCGTACGGTCACTATCACTGTATAGTGTACGGTCACTACAATGACCGTACACTCCCAACCGCGCCTTCCTGGTCCCCTTTCCTTCCCTCTCAGTCTCTCTCTTGCCGATCATAACCCCCATCTGTCATTTGCACCCCCCTCCACCCCCAACATCCCATTCAAGGTAGCTTCCTTCGGCTCTCCCCTCGCCACGCTCCATACCCTTTTACCCCTCATCCCCCCCGACTTGGGGCCCTTCGACCATTTTTTCTAATTCAGGGAATTTACATCCCATCTTTCTTTCCCCATATGAACTCAACATAACATACACGGACAGAAAAGAAGGCTATCGTCCCCCCTCGAATACAACGCACAGTTATATCCGCTGTATCTAGACTGAAAGTTGCCCCAAATTAATGAGCCTAAGCTCTACTCGGGAGAAGATGCTACAAATGCAACGATGACTGCGACAGACCGTTTCGTCCATCCCTTCGCCAACTACTGCCGTTCTCAATCAATTGAGCGTACGGTCACTGTAGCTGTACTTGGGCCACCTTTCAGTCTAGATACAGCGAAAATTACCGTACCGTCTGTTCCACCTGCCCTCTGTCCGTTAAGTCGGTCCCTCAGACTATGACAGACCGTTTAGTCTCCCCCTCCCTCCCTCCTGCACACTACCTGCCTTCGTTTCTGCCCCTCCATTCCGCCCCACTACACTTTTATCGCACCCCTCTCTCTCTCTCTCTCTCTCTCTCTCTCTCTCTCTCTCTCTCTCTCTCTCTCTCTCTCTCTTGTTACCCTTCTTTCGCTGCATCCATGTCACATACAACTCCCTTTTCCGTCCACCACCTCTAGCCCGCTCTCCCCTCGTCTCCTTCCCCTCTCGTCCTATCTCGTTCCCACTGTTGGCGCGCCTATGTCGCCAACAGCTCATCCTCCCTCTCTCCTCCTTCCCTCCTAGTCTCCCTCATTACCCGCACCGCTTCTCCACTCCCTTTCCCCCTGCTTACCTTCCGCTCGATAAATTACCATCTTCACCAGCAAGCGCGCCTCTACTACTTTTGCCATTCCACCCCCTTCCACGTCCCTCTTGCCCTCTTCCCAACTCTCCTCTTCGCCTTCCCCCATCTCTCCTTCTCCCCATCCCCTCCACCCTCTCACTAACAAACCCTTCCCCGGTTAAAGGCTGCCTGCCTGATGACTCTCCATCGGCTTTCCCTCTTTCCCTCTCCTCTTCCCAGTTAAAGGCTGACACCTTTTTACCAGTGAGGCAAGCGAAGAGATTGACGACAACATGTCTGACCGACTGGCGACTGTTTACTCGCACGTACCTGCAAAGGTCTTCAAGAAGATCTCTCGAAGGCGTGACCGACGGCTTCATACCGCTTCCTCCTCCCCCTCCCCCTCCTCCATGACTGCCCGCTACAGCTGCTTCGCGATGTGCGACACCTCCTCCTCCTCCCCCTCCTCGGGGGAGTCTTGACGCCGCATAGCCAGCCTGTACTGCTTGTTGCTGTGACACCATCGCGCCCAGACGCACCGGAACGCTTCTGCAAGCTATACGTATCATACGCTACCGCCTTCTTCTCTCCTATCCTCTCCTCTCCCTCTCCCTCTCTGACACACGCATTCACTCCTCACAACTTCGCTTCCATTCCAATGAGACGCGTGAATGGCAAAAAAAAGGGGGAACAAAAAACACGGAAGATGTTGTTCTCGAATGAAATGAAGAGCAAAACTGCAAGAACATAGAAAGAGAAAATAAAAAGCGACGAAAAACGATGATAGTCTCCAATACGCTCCGTGCGGTTCTACAGCAGAGTAAGATACTGATGAAACATCGCGTCGAATACTTCGTGCGCTAAGTCCCATTAGCGGGTGGAGAAGAGGAAAGACG